AAAGCACGGATTCAAGACCGAATCTAAATCTATTCGAGTTTGGATCCGGACCAACCAAAATACTAAGGACTGAACCAGTTAATTATGCATGTTTTAGGCTTTTTAATTTCTACGGTGCAAATAAGAAAAAATAAAAAAATAGACTACTAAAAATAAATACACAACATTGACTACTAATGTGGAATAATTTTTTTTGAATTGTTAACGAAATTACTTAATAAAAAACCTTCTTAATGAAGTAAAATAAGATATCTATCAAAATAGAGCATCAACGTGTAATATCGAACTTAAGAAGTAGAGTTTTGATGTAATTTCCCAAAAATAGGCCTATCAGAATTTATTAATTACTGAGAAGGATCTAAAAATATGTGATTTATAAAGTTTGTCAATAAATAATAAAAGTTATATCATTGTGTAGAGTTTGACTGTTTGACCCCAACGATTCAATCGGATTTTAATTTGGAGAAAGTTGAACCAAAAAGTGTACCCCGACTGGGACTGTAATTAGTCCCAATCAGGGACTTGCGTTTAGAATCAGGGACTGTAAGCCGCTCCACTCAGCCGTTGGAACAGGAAATAGTGACATCCACCATGGCTTCTTCCTCCTACTTCTCTACTATACACCCCCCCCCCCCAACTTCACCATTTTACATCATTCTTTTTCCAAAAGAAAGTTGTGAGTGTAGAGAGAGAAGTTGTGATGTCCAAAAAGCTTCCTGTCGCTGGAGCTAACCACAATCCTCGCCGAAAGTTTCGCCGTAAATTTTCCAAAACCTCCGTTAAACTTCGAGATAAGCCCGTAAATATATCTAGTGACTATAATGTTCGTATAGATTGTTTCTACGTTCATAAACAGTCGTTTGGTTGAGTTTTGTGTTTAATATGCTTGAAAAATCAAGAATCATAAACCTTGAACTTGTTGTTAAAAACTTCGAATTATTGATACCAAAATGATCTATGAACATTGGAGAACATGTCTATATAGTTTAGTTGAAGTTTGGTGGCTTAAAATCATATATTGAAAATTTAACCCAAGGTTGAAGATGAAGTGCTATTGGCTGGTTTGCAGGATTGGTCGACCTTTCTGCCACAAAGGTCAATCGTTTTAAGACCAGAACCACCACGGTTGCAATAACAGTCGACCGTTCTTCCACAAAGGTCGACTGTTCGAACATTGTCAGCAACGAAAAATGCTATTTTTGGAGCTATAAAATCCTATTTTTGATACCAATCAATTATGACCAATATAAAGGTGATTTCTTGAAATAAAAACGATGTTTTTAACAAATAAAATGTTATGTGATGTATGACGGCAAGTTAGGGTGTTAACACTCGAGATTGGACCGCTAATTGCTATTGAATGTTATGTTGATTGATCATTATGATCAATAATTGTTATGGATGATTATGAATGATGAACCTACTCATTAAAATGATTATTGATGAATAAATAATGACTAAAAATGAATATATTGGTAATCACGAAGATGATGTATGTTGTTAATGATATCTAGAAGAACTATAAGGTATACCCATTTGGAAATTGATGATGATCATTAAGGATATCTAGAAGAACTCTAAGATATACCTCCTTGACCAATTCATAATTTGGGGTTAAAATGTACGTACATGATCCAGACCGGATATCACCCGCCCGATAGTTCACTGTTCGGTTGCTACGTAATCCACATGACTCATGGGGTGGATTATTGATTCTTGTGTTCTGCCTTAAACTATTTATAGTTTAAGAGCCTGGTTAGAATTGTTGTCTTAGACTAGAAATAGCTAAGAGTTTGTTGTAAAATGATTTGGCCTTAGATTTAGAATAATTTAAGAGTACTGTTGAGATATTGAATATTGAATATTGTATATATCATGAAATGACTTGAAATAAAATATTGTAATTATCATGAATGATGAATGCTTGAATTGTATATTGTGTGCATGATATCAAATGGTTGATTATGAATTGAGATTCAATTTATATGAATGTTCGATGCATTAAATATGCTTACTCAGCTTTACCGCTGAGCGTGTAGTGTGTTTTATTTGCTACACGCAAGTAAACAAAAAGAATGAAGTGACATATTCCTGGAGGCAGACGGGGCAAGATGGTCAAGGTGGATGTGTGAAATGAATTGATGTTTAAAAATAAATAAAATTATTATGTTTTGTAATTATTATTTATTCAGCTTCCGCAACATTGAACTACTCCGTTGTTATCTTGAATGCTTTATTTTGAAATAAAGTTTTTTTAAAATATTTGAAATATTTTGAATGTTTACGAATATCAAGTTTATACTTTAGTCCGAAAGAGGCTGCAGAACTGAACGGATTAGGGTGTTACATTTAATGTTTAAGTATTTTAGGTCTAATAGGGTTATAAGATTCATTTGATCTAATCGGTTCGGAACTAAATCATTTCGGGTTTGGAACGGTCCAGATCGAAATCTATTGCTTAAATTTTTTGGACAGATTATCGACCCAAAATCTAATCGGTCCAGGTTCGGTCTGAACTTAATGGTGTGATTCAATCGATTTATCGGTCCAGACCTAAACTTGAACAGCTCTTCCTATATGTATAAGACTAAAACATTGGGGTTATATAAAAAATAAGACGTCTATATTTTATCTTTAAAATAGAACTATTATGCTATAATAATACTCCCTCCGTCCAAAAATAATCTTCTCGTTTTGACTTTACACTTAAATTAAGGAAAAGTAAAAAATATTGTTACTTTCCATATTTGTCTTTGGGTCATTGCAAAAAATGAAATAAAATGTAAGTATGGATAGTAATTAATGCGTAAAGGTGAGAGTATTGATGTGGTTTAAAGAAAAAGCATTTGCCAAAAAGGAAACAGGAAGATAATTTATGGACGAACAAATAAAGAAACTGGAAAGATAAATTATGGACGGAGGGTGTAAATTCAATATTACATTTTAATCAAATCTGATCTGATTGTAGTTATATTTAAAATTATTTCTAGTCTGGTCTGATTTTAATAAAAAAAATAATAAGCAAAACAAATAAGTTGAGCGGGACCCTAAAGCAAATGAGGCTAATTAGCTTATGTTGCCTCCAATTCCTCGAAAAATGCTTCGCCCATGGCTTATGTCGGAGCCATCTGCCCAACACGTTGCAATAAGCTTTTCTTGTTGTTCTTCTCCATCATATGTCCCTACGGATGATCCGCATTCCGTAAGTGGACTCTTTTTTTACCTTTCAAATGTCACAAATGAAAATATTTAGTATACATAAAAAAAATTAAATTTAACTAAATAGACATATAGAAATTTTTTAATATACAAAGATAGGGGAAAAGATGAATAGTGACTTTTCCTCCAAAATGTCTGGGTTTGATCATATGAATAGATACATGTAACTTAACTTGAAACAAAATAAATGTTTAAAAAATAGAACATCAAATTATCCTTTAAACAAAAAATCAAAATTATTTAAGAAAATAACTAAAAAAGAAATGATTTGATCATGTAAATAGTAATAATAAACATGTAAAATGGGAGAGCATGAATGAGAACCAGAAGGAAAAACATGGCTACAAGATTTTAAGTTCAAAAAGGAGAGGAGCCCGTACACAATCATTTAAGGGAAAGGAAAACGCTCAACTGAAAACAAGAAAGGGTGAAATATCTTGTTCAATAGGATAACTAATGTTAAAGCGAGAGTATTGATACAATAATTATCATATCAAGAAATCAAAATGAGTTGCGATTTGCGAAACCATCTGGGGGAAAAAGGATTGATAATGGCACTTAATCTTCATCCTCCTCTTCATTCTCAGCAATGTTGAAATATCTCAACTCGTAGACGTTTTTATCCTTGTTTGAAGAAATAACACGGAGCCAGTCACGCACGCTGTTCTTCTTCAAGTACTTCTTTGTCAAGTACTTCAAATACCTGTCGACATGCAGCAAAGCCAATGAACCATCAGAGATTGAAGAGACATGAAAAAGGAGGGGCATAGATTTGGAAAACAGGTGAACTCCAAGATTTTTGAAGACTCAGCAAGTATAACAATCATATTACAGCCATGTCAGCCAGCATTTCATAGAAACTTTGTGGTGCTGAATGTTTTCCAATAATGGTGAGAGAAATATAACTAGGGAACAAGCACAATTGGATCAAATGTGCCCATAGGGAGTAAATCCAGTAATGACACTGCAAAAATCCTTCAAGACTCGAGCTGAGACATATAAATTGCAGTTGTTATTTGATTTCAGCACTGTGGTACCAAAGATACTTAGATATTAAGAAACAATGCAAAATTCCTTTTAAGAAAAGAAGTGGAATTGGGATACAGTGTATTAAACTCCATTGCTTACAGAGGATTTAAACAATGTAGTACCAAAGAGAGTTAGATATTTAGGAACGGGGCAAAAACTCCTATAAATCAGTGGAGTAATGGTATTAAACTCTCTCATTTCAACACTATGGTACCAGAGATACTTAGATCTTAAAGAATAGGGCAAAAAATCACAAAAAATAACTCAACATGTGGTATTAAACTCTATCAGTGTTCTAAAATTAGCTGAAGTGTCAGCTGATTCCAACCCCATCGGCCTGATGCCTTTCTTGCAGGGACAAGACAGAGACTAGAAAATACATAACTTCATATATTTTTTCATAAATAGGATCGGTGTGTGTAATCGTATATATCAACAAAACTATGAAAACAATAAAAATATTAATTGTGTGATAGATAATTGATATATGTATAATGCATATGACAAATAGATGTAGTTTTCTTTCTATCTCAACACATATGGTTAGCTCCAAACTTTAGTACACACAAAATGTAGTTGGTGGCTTTGTTCAAACCAGAAGGGTACACTACTTTTCAATTGGGGCACAGTTTCAGACAATGCCTAAGCGGCTAATCCCATCATGTAAGCCAGACTAACCCATCTAACCCAATTTTAAGAACAATATACCATCATAGAAACTCCAAAAACACAAGTATTTGGTACATCCTTTTATAATAAGAAATTATTTATTTGAAAAAATTTTCTGAGAGTTACTGGGCACATATTACTTTGAATATGAAATTAGTAAAAGGCCAATCTGTTTGACCTACACAGAGAAGACTAATCGAGTATGATAAAGTAAATTATCCAAAACAATGGAAGAAATGCACTAGCTAGAGATCACAGGTGGTGTACGAACACACTTCTTAACCCTAGCAAAGCCTAATTACGGAGAAAGAATGGAAACTACCTCTTGGAAAAGTTGGAATCGGAAGTGACGGTGATCTTCGTCTTCTCGCGGACGACGGTGACGGAGTCGCCAAGAGCTCCGGCCTTGCCGCCGACCTTGATGCGCTCCTGGAGGAACTTCTCCAGCGAGGCGATGTCCATGATTTTGTCTTCCACCGGCTTGGAGCAGTCGATAACGAACGTCACTCCCTTCCTCTTCCCTCCCTTGACGGCGCCGGCGCTCCCCTTGCTCATTTTGACCGTTCTCACCTGCAAACAAGTTAACCGATCCATTCATACATATATTCACAGAGAGATTAATATCATGAAACTGAAGATGGGGATATCGACGGAGATGAGACCTGAACGAGGAAGACGTCTGTGATGAATGAGGAGAATCGAGGAGCTGCCGCAAGGAAATGTAGAAAAGGGTCTTCCTCTAGGGTTTAATGCAATCGCTATTTGGGCCTTAGCTTTGGTGTGGCCCAACAGTATTATGGCTATTCCTTACGTCCATATGAGATGAGTAATCAATTGTACATTTGTACGTTTACAATTTTTTTCCACTAACTAATTTTTGGTTTAAATATGTTTTTGATCCTTGTAAAATATGTAAATTTGTTTTTAGTCAAAGTAATTTTTTATTTTTTTTAAAATATCCTTGCTAAAAACTAAATTGATATCTCTAACTAGTTGTGATATCTCTAACTAGTTGAGATATCACATTTACGGGGTATTTTATACTCAACAATCTAATGTTGCATTTCTAATTATTTTTGACATGATTCTCAAACCCTAAATTGTATATTTATTCATATTACATCTTCAGTTATCAAATTTATATAAATATAATGTAATAAAATTTAAGAATTAGACATGTAATTTGATGAAGAACACAATTTAAGGCATGAGAGTCGTGTATATGATAATTAGAAATACAAGATTAATATGTTGAATACAAAATAAATGTGTTATATCTGCAAATTCGAAATATTAATTATGTTTAAATACTATTTTAAAAAATAAAATTTTTTGTAAGGATTACTTAAACAAAAAATATTTACAAGAACAAAAAACAATGGTAATTAATTTTACAGTGACTAAAAATATATTTATTCATTAATTTTTGTAAAATTTGCACTAAATAGGACTAAAACATAATGACTTTCCCAATGTAGGACTTAACTTTTTTTATTCCCTAAATAGGACTTAATAATGACCTAGTGGGAATAATAAAGTCCAGTAATGATGGACATTTACTTGAATAATGACTACATGATAATGACTAAAAGTCCTACATTGAGAAATAAAAACATATGGTTCTATATTGGGAAAGTCATTATGTTTTAGTCCTATTTAGGTAAATTTCTCTTAATTTTTTTCTAAAATGTAATGCTTTTTAGAGTCGTGTCTACGAACGATTTCATGTCTTCATCAAAAAAAGGACTTCAAGTTCGCCGGGCACTTCAACCACTAAGAACAGAAAAAGACGAGTGGAACGAAGATAGCATATAGGACGGCAGAGCTGGCAAGAAACGAAATCATTTAGACTCACTAAACACAATAACTTTAGGACAATGATAGGGTGCCACCACATGGGTGCACTCAAGATTCACACAGACGATAATTGTATGTGCGACACAGGCAATTATTGTCTGTGTTTGTCTGTGTGAAGCATGGATGCACCCATGGTAGCACTCATGTGGTGGCACCATTTCGTCTAACGACCCGTCCTCAAAAAATCAACGGCCAGATGCACATTGTTATGTCGACCTCAACAAGGAGGAAGATAATGATGAGGACTTTGATGACGAGTCGCCGAGGCCAATGGGTCAAACCAACCAATAAACACACAAAAACACTCAAGTAATGACCAAGGGCGGCATTAAGGGGGTGCAACATGTCCACCCCGCACAAAACCCCAATTTTTTTGGGGCTCAATACTATATGATAGAGTATTTTTAAAATCAATTTTTTTAAATAAATACCCTTTCGTATTTATGTGTTCGTTTAGTTTGACTTTTCAGAGTCAAATTAGATAGACTTTAATTATCATTACAAAAAAATTGTATTACATATTTTACATTGAAATATAATTTTAAAAGTTTTTTAGATAAATCTCATTAGATCATTTCAATATTATTATGTAGTAGGAGTATATTTTTGTTTAGTAGAAGTTCATAGTTTAACTAAAAAATAATCAAAGTGGATAAATATACTAAGACAAATGTAGTATATGATTTTAATATTTTAAATTGTGTATAATTAATCATAAATATCAAAATTGGCATTGATTTAAAGATAGTAGTAATTTGCACAAAATAAACGCCCAAGTTCTATGGCCACTCCTTTAGAGTGGCCACGTAGGACACCATCTCAATTGGGATACTTGCGGTGCTTCATTCGTAAAATTGACAGTTCATACCCCTTAAGACTACGAGAAACTCCCACACCTAGTTCCAACCTCAACTCATCCCCCCCACCCATGTCAATTACATCATAAATTTTAGTTGATTTTGAAATCAATTTTTTTTACTTCAGAGTCAACTAAACTTGCACCCCATAATTTACGTAGGTGGGGGATAAGTTAGTTTTGAATTGGGGGGAAGGGTTTACCGGAACTGCGAGAGCTTAGGGGGGTAAGAACTTTCAAAGAACCTAGTCATAGTGTAATATGGCTATGTCAAGAAATTAAAAAAATTCAAAAGGACTCATTCAAAAACATGTACTGGATCCCATTTTATTTTGCGGTCAGGTTATATGGCCACTCTCTTTGATGGCCCCGTCCCGAAATTGATAGTTTAGATTTTGATGATGATGTGAGATGCTAAAGGGCCTATTTGCCTTGTTTAGTGAGCAAACCACTATTCTTTGAAATGAGTTTTAAAAATCTAAAATTTGAAACAAATGTTGAAAGAAAAACTAAAATGGAATCGAGTCTATCTCTGCTATTATGTGCGCAATTATTGAACCATATTAAATTTTCTTAAGGGAGAAAGTATATGGTTCTAATATTTTTCTTCTTTCTAAATAAGATAAACACATTATTTCAACCTCTCAATCCCCCGGCATGAGGAAGCTGTTAAAACCCAAAAAGGCAGGCGCAGCTTCTAACAGAAAATGGAAACTACAAACATTTATTTAAAAAAGAAAAAAAACTACAAAATGAAAGGAAAACAAGGACTTGGGTAACAACATATGAATCACCCAGACATAAAAGAATCAGATTGATGGGTACACAATAGAAAAACAGTATTGTTCATTTCTTCTGTGAGTAGGTATCCAGTGGAAGAAATTTGGCATAGCGGTCACTTTTCTCCGTTTTGTGATCATAGTACTCCACCACAGCTGCTCCCGCTAATGCAGCGAGGGTAAATGCCTGCGCGTGCAACCTGAAAAATAGAGTTTAATAATACATTACACAAGCAAAAGCACTAGTATGAAATGGGCAAATATATTGATCTGACAGAATTTCAAGCCGGCCTAAAATGGAATCGAATAGAAAAACGGGTTTTTAAATGGTACCAAATGGTTTTTGTCATAAAATCGAACCGTACCAAATTGTTTGAATAGTAACGGTATGGTAGGGGTTCTATGAAAATACCAGACCGTCACGGATAATGACCACATGTACAATATTCATGCAAAACAAGGGCAACCCAATGCAAAGAGTGTCTCTGTTGAGCAAAGGGTCTGAGAAGGATCCCACCATAAGGGGGTGATGTTATGGCATGATGTAGACAAACCACATTATATTAGTACATTTTTTACAAGACATTTCTCACCGGACACATAAATGGGTGCACCAAGGCTCCCCCTTCCAAACTAATTGCCAAACACACTCTATACAGTAAAAATCTACTATTTTAAACCCTGACACAATGTCATGTAGGTCCATTGGCCATTTTTGTTGTTAGTTGCAGGCACATATACCATGAGATATGATCAGAAGCTTCAATATACTGGCTAATGCATAGAGCCATTTGTAGTGGAAAGGTAGTTTGTCACGAGTCAAATGGGACTTTCACCCCTATGGACCTCTCAAAAATACATTTGATATTGGCAAGATAATTAAGAACTACATCTGACACAAAAAAAAAAAAAAGAACTACATCTAAAATCTCTACATTAAGCATGAACTTGTTGGAGCACATAATGTAAAATTATAAACCGACACAACATTATCCATTTTACAATGAGAAAGACTATAATAAATATCTCAACTTATCCTTGCCCCATGCTATTTCTAAGTGGAAAACATATATACGAGTATTACACACATGCTTACTCCAATTTGTCTTTGATCCCACTCAGGTGCTGAGTCAAATATTGGAGTAAACACGGGTTGCGAGAACAAAATTTCCCACACACTCAAAATGACAACGGTTTCAACACGTCATTGTTCTTTCTTTATAAGGTTTCCAAAAGAAGGGCTTTTGGAGTAAAAGGACTTTCTCAAATCTATATTTTTTTAAAAAAATTATAGACAACTTAATTGAAGCAATAAATTTTACTCCGTATGAAACAACCCACAATATAGTTGTGCTCATGGGTGATGATGTATAAGTGTTGATGATGTTTGCTCCCAAACACACATAAGAGTTTTGAAACATTAACTTCTGTCTTGAAAATGAACATTTCTGGTTCAACCCACCATGAAGGATCCTTCATAAGATCTCATTCTCAATAAAAAGTTCAAAATCTAATGTTTATCAATGATCAGCCACCGAACAAAGATCAACATAACAGCCAACTTTTTTTTTCTTTTGAAAACCTTAGATTGTAATGATCTCACGGTTCTCAGCTACACAGGCTTCAATCATAAATTTGCAAAATCGAGATTTTTAATTCTAAACAAAGAGCCTCAAAAACATCAATTTTAAAATTTACATCGATTGCATTCAAAATCACATGAAAAAGGAAGACGAACAATCTAAAAAACAAACGGTACCTAGCATGAATGATTCTGACACTGGTCTTCATGTTGGGCTTTGACCAATTGTACGCAATGGATCCGGCAATACCGCTCAGCCACAAACACCCTTCAATCCCAGGTTACAAGCAAATGAACAATAAAATCACGACTTTACTCCGTAATTGCAGAAGAATCAAAGAATCCATACCTACGGTGCGAAGCTTGTGATCAGAGACCCATTCTCTGACGGAATCGAAGGTGGACTTGGGCTTAGGCACGGATTCTGCCATTTTTGTATTGATTGCTGGAGACGAAAATTAGGAATTTCTAGGGTTGAATGTTCAAGCAAGAAGAAGGAGAGATATTTGTTGATGGCGAAGGGACGATGAGATTTCTCTCCCTTGTGTTTGAGCCATGATATAAAACCAGGACGAGCGAAAACAGATTTTGGTTCCTCCCTCAAGAAAACTATGGGCGCGCATCTTTTCAGAATGAACATAATCACCTGTAAAGTAATTGTGACTTCTTAGACATTTTTACTATTAGTATTCCTTCCCTTCTAAAACTATTTTCTTTTGTTTATGAGGCTTAATTGATTTTATTTTCAATTTAATTTATTTGATTATAGGTATAAAATTAAAAAAATAAAATTTATATATTTAAAAACTACATCAAAAGTTCTACAAAATAAGAGGTGACAAAACTATACTCGAGGGGGTATTTAGAATGTTTGTCCAATGTGAGTTTTTTATGATTTAAATTGATAAATTTTAAACTATAAATTAAATAACGTTAATATTAAATATTAATATAAAAATGAATTTATTAAATTTATCTTGTAGAATATTATCAAAATATTGTTTAATATAATTAAAATAACAAGTAATATTTATTTTATTATTGGCAAAAAATTGATTAATGCTGACGACTAAAAGTCAAAGGGATGGAGACAATAGAATAAAGCTAGCTAGTGTTAACCTCGTACTTCGTAGAGGCTAAATTTTTGACATTCTATAAATATAATTTTATTTATTTTAGTTTTCGAATAATGACATAATATGTGTTAGATGAATTTGTTTTAACTCTAAGATATATCTTTTTTCAAATATTATACTTTAAATATAGATGTACATGCACTAAAGATTCTATAAGTATTTTTTAAAAAATAGTAAAAGAGAAATGATTTATTGTTTTTAAAAATCATACTCCCTCCGTCCTAAAACCATCTTCCCACTTCCCTTTTTTTCCCGTCCTAAAAATACCTTCCCAAACCCAAAAAAGGGCCGTGTAAAGACAAATATACCCCCCTCTCATTTACGCCACACCTGCCCTTCCCTATTTGCATTTACACCTCCACGCTGCTTCTCTCCTTTGCTCTTCGTCTCCTCTGTCTAAACCCTAGATCTATCTACCCCTCTCTCTCTCTCTCCTTCTCCGCCTCTCTCAGCCTCTCTAAATTCATCGCCCTCTCTCCATCTTAACATCAGTCTTCCCTTATACCCTCTTCCGCCTACTCCGATGGTGGACTTCGAGTCGACGCTGAAGTCGTTCCTGGCAAAGCGCGCCAAGAGCTGCGACTTGCCGACGGCTGAGTCTCCGATCAGAACCACCTTGAGCAAATAATCGATCTTCTGGTTGAAGCCGCTGCCGCCACGGCTACCTCATCCGCCGTACATCCTCGACATCTTATGAAAATAGGCGAAGAGTCGCGATCGTTAGAGCCACCGGAAGGTTGTGAAATCCAGTCCGCCGTGTGGAATTGAAAGGGAGGAAGATTGTGTCTGGGTGGAAATGTTGCCGGAGTTGAAGGGGTGAACTGAGCTGACTCGGTTGTCCAAGGCACTTGACTTGGTGGCGAATTGGAGATGAAAATTTCCTTGGCGAATTGGAAAAAATTTTCTTTAAATTTTTACTAAGGGGCAAAATGGGAAGTCAAAGGTTAAAATATGAAGTCCTTAAAAATGGGAAAAAGTCAATGTGGGAAGTTTGATTTAGGACGGAGGGAGTATGAAACTTATTTTTTCAAAACATTGATAAAGTTAAAAACATATTACTCCCTCCGTCCTAAAACCATCTTCCCACTTCCTTTTTTTTCCCGTCCTAAAAATACCTTCCCAAACCCAAAAAAGGGATGTGTAAAGACAAATATACCCCCCTCTCATTTACGCCACACCTGCCCTTCCCTATTTGCATTTACACCTCCACGCTGCTTCTCTCCTTTGCTCTTCGTCTCCTCTGTCTAAACCCTAGATCTATCTATCCCTCTCTCTCTCTCCTTCTCCGCCTCTCTCAGCCTCTCTAAATTCATCGCCCTCTCTCCATCTTAACATCAGTCTTCCCTTATACCCTCTTCCACCTACTCCGATGGTGGACTTCGAGTCGACGCTGAAGTCGTTCCTGGCAAAGCGCGCCAAGAGCTGCGACTTGCCGATGGCTGAGTCTCCGATCAAAACCACCTTGAGCACATAATCGATCTTCTGGTTGAAGCCGCTGCCGCCGCGGCTACCTCATCCGCCGTACATCCTCGACATCTTATGAAAATAGGCGAAGAGTCGCGATCGTTAGAGCCACCGGAAGGTTGTGAAATCCAGTCCGCTGTGTGGAATTGAAAGGGAGGAAGATTGTGTCTGGTGGAAATGTTGCCGGAGTTGAAGGGGTGAACTGAGCTAACTCGGTTGTCCAAGGCACTTGACTTGGTGGCAAATTGGAGATGAAAATTTCCTTGGCGAATTGGAAAAAATTTTCTTTAAATTTTTACTAAGGGGCAAAATGGGAAGTCAAAGGTTAAAATATGAAGTCCTTAAAAATGGGAAAAAGTCAATGTGGGAAGTTTGATTTAGGACGGAGGGAGTAATAGATATAATTTGATTATGTAAACAAAATATGTTTTAAACTAGTAGAATGTATATTGGTATGTTTATTTTAAAACAAAATTTTTATACAAAACTAATGGCCATTATTAAATGAAGTATTAATGAAAATAGTTTTAATTAATAAAACATTATAATAAAAAATGGACTTATTAAATAATGATACATCATTAGAGAATATATGTGTGGCAATATGTGTGTGTGTGTGTGTGTGTATATATATATATAATATGGAGTATATTTTACAATGATGAAATATATTTTTATAAAATTGTTAAAAATGACATTTTTTATACAAAGTATAATTAAATAATGTTTTCTAGTACTAAAATATAATATTTATTTAATGTAATAAAATAAAAAGTGTTAAAAGATCTTTTTAAAAAATTAAATGGACTAATGAAATTCATCCATCTCAATGCACATGTGGATGCACATGTGGCATGCCACATGTCAACACTCTAAGAGATAAACCCAATTTGACATATATATAGGGTATAGGATAGGATATAGGATGACCCTGACCTCATACTTTGCAAAAACCATGTTTGTTCAGTAGCGACACTAGCACCAAATTCTTGTGTATATATGATACATAAAACACTCTGGTGTGAGCTCGATGCTAAATTTCATCTTAAACTAACCTTGCCCGCGCCTTGAATCTGAAATTGGACTGAGTTGCCTGTCTAAACTTTGTCGCCCGAGGTCTCTTCAAAATCGAAGAGCATGGCTCAATTGGAACAGATACAACGAGTGGTTCAAGTGTCAACCCATCGCTCCTTGGTGTTAAACCTGGTCATGTTAATGCCTTTTCCTTCGTTTTGTTTCTTTTTCTAATGCTTATTTCTACACGCTGAAAAGTGGTGGCCTGTAATATCGCATTTGAGCATTTCCCCTCAAACTTTATTTCGCAACTCCTTAATTTGAGATCAAAGGTAAAAAAATATTGACTGTAAAAAGTTAAAATTCGACATATACTCATGCACGAATGCAGTAAAAATAATATTCATTACAATGGTAGTAAATCTCTATATCTTCATATGTTAAATTTGAGAGTTAAACTTATAGGACTGTGACAAGTCTACATAGCAACATATTAATAAATCATCCACCGCCTGTTAATGACTTGAATGATGTGGCAATTTTAATCAAATTACGGATAGATCCAGTTTGAGTTGGATACGGAGTATATGCCTTATATATACGAGTGCCACTATAATTTTTTGAAAAAATACCAAAATACGCCGCCTATTAATGACTTGAATGATGTGGCAATTTTAATCAAATTACGGATAGATCTAATTTAAGTTGTATATGGAGTATGTGCCTTATATATACGAGTGCTGCTAATTTTTTGAAAAAAATACCAAAATAGGAGTTTAATACAGAGAAAGTATTAGAATAGAAGTTTCATATTTTTATGTTCAAAATAAGAGCTACAATTTCAATAATGTTAATATATAATGTCAAAAAGTATTATGAAATGGTAATATACAGTGACACAATGCCACAGTACAAATTCTTATTTGGGAAATAAAAATATTGAACTCTTATTTTTGAGGATAAAAGTTATGTTTTACTTTTATTTAGGATGATTTTTTTACTCTTATTTAGAAAATATACACGGAGTAATATAGATAGGGAGTAGTAATTACCTAAAGTTTCCTTCTACACTTATATTACCTAATATACCTTATTTTATTTTACAAATCATCATCTTTCCTTCTAAGCTTCTACGGAATCCATTTGCGTATTTTTCTTTTTTCTTCTACAGCGGAGATCGGTGAAATTATGAAAATTGTTGTATGATTGATGATGTAGCGACACTCAATTTGATAAGTTTAAGGGGAAGGTGGCATTAGTAATCCATTAAAAAGGAAACTGATACCATTATTATTTGTTTATTTATACTTTTTTCAATATTCTTTACCGAGCTTGCGAGAACAGATCTCCAATTTTTTTTATCAAAACTCCAAAATTTATTATTTAGCTATCAAACAAAAAGAGATTCCTTAGTTTCAGATAATACATTTATATCTCAATACAATGTATTTTTTCTAGGTACTGATGTTAAAGTATGCAAACTTTGACCCAGTAAAGTTAAATGAAATATTAAATCTGAACTAAGGGAGTATTATGGATGAATTTAGGACCTTAATGAAAGCTTATGTCATTGAGTCAGAAATCAAAAAATTTTGTGACTAACAAAAATTTATAAAGTCAACTTCTAAAATAATCATAAATAACAGTTTAAAGTTTTAAAAATCAACTTCTAAAATAATGAGTGAAAATTATAATTCATATTTCTAACTTATTATTTATAATCAAAATAAAAAAATCTTAAGATTTTAAATTCATATATGTGACTAACAAGATATGTTTTGTGTCTAACAAAAAAATTCAAGATGAACAACGAATTCATGATTATGTTAAAAGAATTTAAATAATTATTAGAAAATACCTTAATAAGACTAATATAGAAAAAATACTTTAATAAAAAGGACTGTTTTGAGATTATTCAAAGAATTTAGGAGTATAATTTATAAATAAGTAACTAACTACTCCGTAAAATACTTAAGGCTATCTTTTGTAAGAGAATGATGGGTGTCATAATTATATTAGAAATATGGGAGAAT